TTTGGATTGGGATAACTCCTAATTAGGAGGTTTCTTAGTCAAGAAGAAAGGAGGAGAAATCCAAGAGAAATATATCAGATTTCGAACCAAGGGTTTTAGAAAAAAAAAAAAAAAGAAAGCTCCCTGCGATTTGAGATAAGATCTCATACTAAACTCTAGAGAGAAGAGAAGCAGTTCAGCCATCTTCGTCCCAAGAGTTCTCCTCCAACCGCCGCCATTCCCTCTTGCAAGATTTGATCTTTGCAGCAATAGGGAGTCAAGAAATCAGTTCTTGACATTAGTCTTGCGAAAAAGAGTAAGAAAAATTCAGTGTTCAGAGTTTCCAGAGGATTTTTGCGAAGGATCCAATGTGTAGGATGCACCCTGCTGGTTCCGTTCCATTCACAGTTGTGTCATCTTCAGCAGGAGCGGATCTTGGTTTCTTCTTTGGGCGTGAACACCAACTTTGGGAGATACTGTTTCTCCGGATCATTTATATTCCTCCCTTTTGCTTTTTGGTTCAGATTTGGTTCGATCATGGTTCAAGTAAAATCTTTGAATATAGTATTTTAAATTCAGGGAATATGATTCCCAGTTGGGAGAAGGTGGGAAAATTTTTGAAATTCGCTCACCCATTCCGCAACCTTTTGGCATCCATTGAATGAATCCTACCATTTTTCAAACTTCACCTCGAGAATTTTGCCAAATGGTTTATAGCGATGCAACCAATAAAACAAAATCGATCACTTTTACTAGAAGAATAAGAACTTACTTTGATTAAAGTTTAATCATTAAACTAAGGATATTATAAATTATAGGCCTCCAAGATCTTCTTATAAAGATGAAAAGAAGTCAGGCCAAATTAAAAGGAGTCCGCTTTCTGTGGACCCATGGGTGCACCACTCGAATGAGAATCGACCACGCTAGTTGGGCGAAAAGAAGCTAATGTTAACACTTCACATGGCCATCAACTGAAGTGACCGGTTGAACCGGACATAAAAGAAGCACCCTCGAATGTGAGGCGCAAGTTATCTCGCTTACAGTCTCCCTGCTTTCGGTTGACGTCAGTTCAGGTGATCAAATTCGCTTCCTCTCATCTCATGGTTTCGTTACTTGTTTTGAGGCGAGTTTCTACTCCAAGCCTTCTCAACAAGTTCCTCCACCCCCTCCGCTCTGTTGCTGTCGCTCCTTCCGCCTCTCGCTCCTTCAACACTAATGCTCAGTTGCGCCATTATGACGACGATGAGCGTGGCATCGATGTCAGCCGCTGCTCCGGCGAGCCTGTTTCCCGTAGTCGTGACTATGTTCCTAGCTTCTTCTCAGGTAGTTGTGATCTCAGTCCTTGTTCTTTTGGACTATGTTCACCATTTTCTTATTGATGTAGTCTTTTTGATTTCTAGTTTTGGTTTATAATATTGTCTCCATGGTTTTTGTTGGTTTCTTTAACGTGTCTATTTCAACTCGGTTTTCTCTCCGACAAGGAGCTTGAGCCAGGTTCTGAATTTGATGGATCAATTCATGGACAACCCGTTCTTGGCTGCATCGAGAGGGATGGGGGCTGGATCGAGAAGAGGATGGGACGTTAAAGAAGATGAGAATGGTCTCTATGTGAGGATTGACATGCTAGGGCTCGGGAAAGATAATGTTAAGGTTTCCGTGGAGCAGAACACCCTGATCATCAAGGGAGAAGGGGAAAAGGAATCCGAGGAGGAGGAGAGCGGACGGAGGTACAGTAGCAGGATCGACCTGCCTGAGAAGCTCTACAAGACCGATCAGATTAAAGCTGAGATGAAGAACGATGTCGTGAAGGAAGAGGAGAGGAAGGGCGTTTTCCATGTCAACATCGAGTGATTTGGCTGAATTAACATGATGAATTAGCGGTAGTGAGTTTTTGTAGAAATCTTCTCTTTACTTCTGTCGTCAGTAGTGTAGACATTGAGAAGAGTTTATACTTCAGGGGGGGATGAGGCTTCTGCCTTTATAGTTTTAACAGTGAAGAAATGTAAAGTGGGTCTTGTGACAGAAATGAATAGTACTTCGGTTTCTTTCATCTTGGTTTTATTTATCTTCGACTAATTTTGTTTCTCCCATTTCTATAACCGACTGAACTTCGACGAAATTACTATAACCGACTGAAATGGCAAGTGGAGACCGCCGATGTGAGCTGCGGTTCGGGTTCACTCACCTTCGTTTGACTGAAGACTGACCGCCGGTGTGAGCTGAGTTTCGGTTCACTCACCTTCGATCTGTTGAAAAACAAAAACCAGAAAGACCATTATGTTTGTAGGAGGAAGAAGAAGAGGAGGATGGCAAAGAACATACCGCCTGACACTCTCGTCGTCGGTAGCTTCCGAGTGGACGGACGTTGGTGTGGATTGAGCTCGCCGGTGTGTGGGGTAGGGTTCGATGGAGGGGAAACAGAAAATGGGAGGGAGGTTAGAATTGATAATGGCCATGTTAGCTTCGGTTCATGTTTGCTTCTTTTCACCCAATTGACGTGGTCGATTCTCATTCGAGGGTGCACTCGTCCGGTGCACCCACGGGTCCACAGAACGCGAACTCAATTAAAAGAATACGCTTGATATATGTACTGGTATCATAATCCGGAAGGCTGGGTCAGCCAATCCGATTTCCGAAACCAATAAGCCTGACCCTATCCAACCCGATACAGGTCCACCATTTAACCCGACCCATTAACATCGCTACCTACTCAGTACCCACAAAGACAAGACGATACGTGGTCGTATGATTCGTTTAGATCGAGTGGAAAAGTAGATTATTAGAAGTGTTCATTTTGTTAATTTGAGCCATTTTAAAGAATCTCCTTTTCTTCTAAATTGAACAACGAAGCTCGGACAAACCAAGTCTGCCGGACTCAGGTGGCGCGTCTGTTGTCTCAAATCTCTCTGTCTACGTCATCCGACAGTAATTCCGACAATCCAATCTAACTCATACTCTCTGCCTATCGGATTTAGGTTCTGCGCGCCCAGGTAATTTTGTGTTTCTTTCTGCATAATCTTGGTTCTTCCATGTTCTCAAATTGAAGTTCAGTGCGATCATCTCCATCTATTAAATTCACCAGTAATCTTGAGGTTTGGCTTCCGCTTTGTAAGGTTAGTTCTGAAATTCATATTTGTTTGTAGTTTTATTTTATTTTTTTGTGATGGGTTATGGAGGTGTTTGAATTCATTACTAGGGTTTTAGATTTTTTCTCTCGGTAATTGGGTTTCAATATTCATTGTCTGTGGTCGATGTAGATAAATCTGATTAGAGCATGTTATTGTTGCCATAGTTTCCGGTTATCAGATGATCGCTTTTGGGTAGTTCATTTTACCAAGATTAGGAATAAAGATTTTATTGTGGGGAATAAGGATTTTATTCAAAAATAGTAATGGAATTGGTTGGTTGACCATAGCAAAATGGGTAATTATTGGTTGCTTGTTTATTGAGAATTCAAAATTTTCTTGGCTCAAAAGTCTGATCCGACACCTTTTGTGTTTTCTAGCGTCTATTGTATTCCTGGTTGAGTACATGGTGCGTTTGTTGCATACCTTTTTGATATAGTTTGGGGGAGATTTCGTGTTTTTGTTTTGAAGAATTTGGTCCCAGGGGAAAAGAGTGTGTTGGAAAGTGGCAACTTATGAAAAAGTAGATGGGTTAGTTTCTGGGAGGCATCTAAAGCTGATAACTTGAAAGTAATTGAGTTGTATGCAGTCTACGCATCAAGACTTTTAGAAGTTATATTCATAGTCATTTACTATTTGGAGTTGTAGATTTTAATTTGCAAACCACATTATTTATTATTACTTCAACCCACATCCTTTTTGGTCTGTACTTAGCTCTTCTAGCCCCTTCAAGTTGTCTAGATAGAAAACCTCAAATAGGATAAATAGGTCAGACATGAGGAATCAGAAATTTTTTATTGGAGTAATAGATGCAGTGTCATCATAGTAGCAGGGGCTGATGCTTGATGTCCATGCTTGGTACATCAGTGCTTTATTGAATGGAATGCATGTTCATTAGTTTTAGTGATTTATTCAATGAAATGAATAATGTTTTGTTGGAACCATTTAATTTCTGAATCATCTTTTCCCCTGTTGTCCAGATCTACTTGTAACCTTTTTAATTTGTTTTCCCCCCTATGTACATACAATTTTATTTTATTAGATCTTTGTGAACACATTGTGGAGGATCAAATTTGTTCATCTGAGAATGTTAACTCACATATAGTTGTGTTATCTTTCAGTTACAATGGCATCTTCTTCAGACTCATGGATGAGGGAATTCAGTGAAGCGTCAAAGCTTGCTGATGACATCAATGGCATGATTTCTGAAAGAAGTTCTTTTCCCCCATCCGGACCAGAAACACAACGTCATTCATCTGCAATTAGAAGGAAGATTACTATCCTAGGAACCAGACTAGATAGCTTGCAGTCTCTTTTGTCAAAGCTACCAAGCAAGCAGCCTATGTAAGCATTTTAACTCAAGTTGTATCAGTATATTTGAGAAAAATAACTTGTAGTTAAGTTTAAATATCTTAAGGATTTTTCTAATTTTCAACTCAGTTAGTATCGTTTTTTTATGGATTATAATTTATATTCTAAGATCTTGTTGACGTTTTCATCTAATACTCATCCATGTTTATTTGCTGACTGATGAAATCTCTTTTAATAAAACTGTAACCTTTTTTATCTTTTAATTAAAGCTTATCAAAAAAGTGTTCATATTTTGATTACTATTCTGTTTATGCTGCATACAAAAAGAACTAATGTTATAATGTGGGCAATAGTAGTTCTATAGAATTCTTGATCATAATAAAGTTCTCAGTTTCAAATCAAATCAAGTATCATTATTTTTTGAAAGATGGAATGAGAAAACTTTATTAAAGAAGAAGGGGGGGGTGGTGGTGGAAGAAAAGATCCCACCCGAAGCTTACAACAGAGCGGTCATAGGCCAAACAAAGCAGAACTAAATGGAAAAATGATCATCCCAAATGATTCTACACCAATGAGCACTACAGACAAAAAGAAAGACCAAAGAACAGAGCGGTCATGGGTCAAAGCAAAGCAGAACTAAATGACAAAATGATCATCTCAAATGATTCTACACCAATGAGTGCTACAGACAGAGAAGAAAGACCAACAAACTCCTTGTGGATTGCTACCCATTTGAAAAGGCCAAAGTATTGTTTTAGGTGACTTTCAGTTTTGTTGTCACCTTTTACAGTGCATTTTCTTTTTGATAATCTGGACACATAAATCACTAAATAGACAAAGGGTTCGAGTTCGACCATTATGCCAGAAAAACATGACGCTGGAAAACTTTACAACCAATCAATCGGTATCATAAAAGTGGTAACCAATCAGTTGGTATTTATTTATTTTCTTTTTTGATAGGAAGCAGTAACTCTCATTAAGATAGATTAATAGAATACACAGGTCCAGTCCCCATAAAAAGGGACTAACACCCCACATTCAATTATAATTCAACCCAAGACAAATTACCCCTCAATGTCCCTTGTTTGCCTCATTATATAATGCTTGATTAAGAGAAGATGGAGAATAGGTTCGTAGAAGTTGCAAGACGGAGGAAAGTGATGAAGATTGAAGCAAAAGATCTCATATTTGAAGAGATAAGGATTAGAGGCCAGTAGAGTTTGAAGATTAGGGAGGCAAAGAAAGCTACGATACTGTTGGAAGGTCTTGAAGTGATCGAATGGATGCAGAAGTTTGTTTCAGAAGCAAGTTCTAAAGGTAAACAAAACTTTACGAAGTTCAACCTTGATGGAAGAAAAAGTTATGAGTTGGAATGCAAAAAGAATGCAAAAGGATGCTACATAACTCTGCAGGAATTCTTTGGAGGAAGAAAGAAGCAGTTGGTTTGCTTCCCAGAAAGTAGAAGGGGTAATGGATGGAAGGTAGTGGCAGAGGTACTGAGTAACTTTACTCAGCAGCTGAAAACAAAACAAGTAAAGGCTGTAGCAAAAGAAAAGAAAGGGGGTAAACAAAGGAGAGAGGAAGAACCCATTGATAGGAAATGGATGATTGCAGGGAAAAAGAAGTTGTAAACTGGTAGCAACAGTAGAAAAAGAGGATTGGGGGAAGAAATTTGTGGTGGAAACCTCAAGTTCACCAAAGGATTGGAGAGGTATTGCTCAGGCGATACTCAGAGAATTAAACCTGCAAAAGCCGATGGTGATTACTCCTTATGAATCTTGTAAAGCTTTGATAGATCTGGGTGAAGACGGAGTAGAGATTTCGGCTTTAAGCATTCACTCAGAGGCTGGTGTTGCCACAGTCTCGAAATGGTGTCCTCTCTCTAATACCAAATGTTTTGAGATTGAAGACAATGTAATAGTCAGATTGCTCGGGTTACCTTTCAATCTCTGGAAGGAGGAAGTATTACACTCCATAGCTGTAATCTGTGATGCAAAACTAGAAGGTGTTTTTGTTTGTGATCTCCATTCAGTTGCAGTGATGTTAGGTGGTGTTAAATCCAGTGACATTCCAAGGAAGGTAGAGGTTGTTGCAGAGGGTTTAGTATACCTCGTTTGGCTTGCTACCTCCATTGAAGCCCAACTATGGAAGGAGGGAAGAAGGGAGGAAGATGAAGGGGCAGAACAGGCCTGGTTGCTTGGTTTGCAAGGCAGAGTAGTCACTACAAAAGTGGCTAAGTCATCTGAGGTAACCAAGAAAAAAGAGAATAATTTAACCACTTGGGGAAAGTCTGCAATGGCAAGGTGGGCTGAGGGATGGCAGGTCCTATGTTCAGTCAGTGACAGGAGGATTAATTGGAGGCAGACTTGCGCCAGGAGTTCAAATTTCAAAAGAAATTGAGCAAAGGTCAGCAAGGGTTCAGGTGTCAAGCCGGTTCATTCTGGTCCATTGAACCAAGGTCAGTCACATGTTGTTTTAAGTAAAGATGTGACTGGTAAAGAGGTTGGGGGGCTGGGCCCAGGCCCATAAAAAATTAATGGGTCTATTCCTGTGAATGGGCCAGCTGTGTTAAATAGTGTGGACCTAGGCTTTAAAGAGCCAAGTGCCAACTTAAGTAGGCATTTGACCAAAGGAAATGGGGAGATAATGGACCAAAAAGATGGTCTATCATCGTCCCCCTCGAGTAAATCTCATCCAGCGCCCACAGGAGAGAGTTAGCCGCAGTGGAGTGGCAAATCTGAATTGGGCATGGGTTCTGAGCAATGAGAAGAAAGGCTACTCCCCGGAACGGTGCAATTTGAGGTTCAAGAAGCACCCATTGACAGTGGAGACAGGGTGTTCCCTCATTCCGGCGACAGTAAATCACAATATTACGGACACGTTTGAGGTCTGTGTGATGGAGGAAGAAAGTAGCTCAGCATTAGAGTCTGAATGCTCCTCAAGTATTGGAAGCATGGAACTTTAAAAGCCAAATCTCTCAGTGCTGATGAGAGCCTTCACACCAAGCTGCTTTTTTTGGAAAACGATGTTTTGGATTTATCAGACTCATCCCAGAAGAATCACTCTCAATTTCTCCCATTACCTAAGGAATTGGGGTTTACTGCAGCTATTATAGAGGAGAGGCAGGGGACACCGGTTCTTAAATTTGCTCCCAGCTCGCTAGAGTAGCACGACATTGATAGAGGAACAGAGGAACAAGACTTACCTTGGTCACCAATCACAGAGTCATCAACCAGGAGACAACTTCTAAAGGCAAACTCTGATGCAAGGACTAAAACAACATTGGTTGAACACATTGGGAACCCACAGTCATCTCTTTTGGAAGGATTAGCCGTGACCTTGCCCCTTTGTGTTGCTCCTCAATAGTCAATGACCTCTTCCCACAACCATTCAGGTAATATATATATATATTTTTTGATGAATAACCATTTAGGTAATATTGTCAATTCGTTTTCTGGTACTGATGTGGGTTTCCTGCCTAGAACAGGTACTTTTGTAGGTCAACTTGATCAGCAGCCATGGATGGAAAGTATTTAATTGGGGACAAGGAGGGCAAAGAACAAGAGGAAGTGGGAAGGGGAAGAGAATCATAGGAAGAGGTAAGGAAGTATGAGGTTCAAGAAGGTTCAGTAAAAATAGGGGTTCAAAGAAGGAAGAAAGCAGGGGATGAATTAATTATGGGAAAGATGCAGGAGGAATTAGAGAGGATTTGGAGACAAATTTGTGCTCTCCTTGAGGAATATAGGCAAACAAAGGAATCTTTATAGGAAAACCAAGGAATTTCGGAAAGGCAAAATAAAACAAAAGCAGCCTTAAGCAGATCTGGAACAATTAATAACTGAAGGAAGAAGAAAAGATCAGAAGTGGAAAGGTTGATATCAGATATAGAAGAAAATTTGGAATTCAATGGGAGAGAAGGAAAGCCTCTAAGTAGAGGCATGATCTCAGAAGGGGATGCCAAATCTCTTATCTCCATGAAAATCATTAGTTGGAATGTGAGGGGGTTGGGGAGTGCTAGGAAAAGAAGGCTGATTAAGGACCTCCTTAGAAGGGAAAGGCCAGATATTGTGATGCTACAGGAGACCAAATTAGCTGATATTGATAGAAGGTGGGCAAGAAGCATCTGGAAAGCTAGTGGAATAAGTTGGGTTTCAGCACCTTCTTAGGGGGCTTCGGGGGGAATTGCTACTTTTTGGAGAGAGGATACGGTGGAGGTTTTGGAGGAGCTAGTAGGTAATTTTTCAGTGTCATTAAAATTCAAGATGGTAGATGATGGATTTACTTGGGCTCTAACTAATGTGTATGGACCAAGCAATTACAGAGAAAGGAATGAATTTTGGGAAGAACTTTATGGGATTCAAGGCTTTGGGATGGTCTGTGGTGCTTGGGGGGAGATTTCAATGTAATTCAATTTGCGAATGAATCAAATAACCCCCAATAGGTCATTACAACCAGCATACGGAGATTCAACGATTTTATTAATAACTGTGAGTTAAAGGAACTCCCAATGCTGCGCTCTGTATACTTGGTCCAACTCATAGTTTTCAAGGTGTCTAGGCGACATTGGGGCGCCTAGGCGTCGCCTAGTTGCCTAGGCGATAAAAGTTTTATAATATAAAAAAATGACTTTTGGCTAGTTTCCTAGTTTTATATACCATTCAGCATGTATGTTAATTGAAAAAATAGCAATTATCTTTATTAAGAACATTAAATTTCCTCTAAAAATGTGGCAAATCATCACATCTAAAAGATAAAAATCTTTTACATGTATTAATTTCATTATTTTCAAA